TATACACATATACACATTTACTATACAAATTTTATTATCAAGTAAGCTGTAGCTATATTATGTACAATGATGTTTGGGGATAAAATACAGTAACATATTTTGGCAACCCTTCTTTTTCTCTATTCACTGCTTTTTACCCTTCCGGTATTCCCCTTTTCTCACTCTTACAAAGTAAGTAAGTCTCACTTCGTTCAATCACAACTTAGTATAATACGTAAAAGTTTCTTAATTATTTTTGCGGATTACACCAAATGTTCTTTATACCAAAATGTTCAGCTTTATCTCGTTCTTAAAAGAGTCATTGCGACACTTATGGATTGTACCAATCGAGAAACAGTATTGAAAACGACATTACCAGGAGGAAGAAAAGACTCCACACGCGGATGCCGGCTTTCCGCTGAATCGCTTGCCGAATCTGCTCATTCGCCTCCCTGACATTTTCTGTAGAGCCTACCACCGTCGTCATTAATCGGTCAAGATCCCGGTCCTGATCCAAGACTTTTTCCGTGAAGATCTCTTGCAGCTCGGCAATGTGTACTACCTTGCTCTCAATCTGCTTGATTTCCTCGGTTACAGTATTTAACTCATTAAACAACTGTTCATTCTCCGATTCAAACATCTGCACATCTTCGGCCGATAATTCTTCCTCGTACGCCAGTGTACCGACGTCCCCATTAATCTCCTGGATCTTCATTGGGCTTGATTCATTTGAATCGCTTTTACTTTCGCGACGCTCATCTATCGATGATTTTTCTGTCATATATGAGATATACTTCTTTGCTGTCTTTTCCGACTCATCCACAGGATCCGAATGCAACTTGGCTATCCGTCGCGTCTCCATTGCACGCTTCACACGCATCGCTTTCTGCTCGGAATAAATTTTACAAACGTTCTTCAGGTAATCTTCAATTAATAATAGCATGATTTCGCGGTGTTCCACATTCTGTCGTGTGATATCTTCAGATGTGTTGGCAATTTCTCGCTTTAGTTCCTTTAACAACTGTGAACATGTACTCATGATACGCTGCGCACCCGCGTCGATCTCATCACGCTCTACGTCCGTCATATGCGGTGCCGTCGACAAGTAGCTGGAGAAATTTAGATATGCCCGGCGATTCTCCAACAAGAACTCGCGCAGCTTGCTGATCTGTGTGACCACTGCTTGTGCCTTCGCACAGAAAGCACTTTTAATTTCGACAGTTCTTCTGGATTGACATTTGACACTGTTATTTATCAGGATATTCAATTCCTTATTGCGCAGATTCACCGTCTTCACACAGGCTTTGAATAATGTACTCACATCCATGGCTGACAATTATCGCTTGTGTTCTTCCAAAATCGACTTGACTATCAATCTTCGTAGCGAGGATGTTAATAAATATTTTGTAAATATCGGACACTCATCCTACAAACAATGAAATCTATATCTGCGACACATGAAAACAAAAAGTAAACAAGTGATAAATATTATAATATTGTTATATATTGTTCAGAATAAGGACTGTTTAAATAAATTCAGAAACTTTTTTAAAACAATTACTTTAAAACAATGTCACTTACCTACTTTTGCCCTTTGAAAAACTTATTCATTATGTTTATAAATATTAACTTCATTAATAATAACAATATAATAATAAATAATTATCGTAATATTCTTTATAATTGTAATGCAATAGATTCCAGTTTCTTGAAAAGTAAAATAACAAGCAAATATGTATAATTATCACTTTTGATGTAAACACTTGTCACATAGTAACTTAAAAAGGCAGCGAAAGTAAGGTTATGCACAGCAGCATATTTACTTAAGGGTAGAAAGGGTAGGAAGTATTAATGTAAAAGTGCAGAAAATGAAGAACTACACAAGTTGTCCAATAAAGATCATTTCAATATCCAATAGAGACACATATTTTTTAGGAACTTTAACTAACGACATTTTATCCCGTAAAAAACAAATCTTTCTATTGGTTCCCGGAATAGTGCAACATTTTTTGTTTGATAAGTGCGTTCCAAAACTCATCGAAAAAAAATGCAATTTTTCACGAGTGTATATTAGATGTAGCATAAACCACAATGATAAAAAAACCTATATTTTAAAACTATAATCTATTATAAAATATTGTAATACATATTTAACATTTTAAAAATATACTTTAATAATTATATTATATTCTATGCATTAAATTATTTTGAAAATTTTGATATAGAATACTAAGGTAATGCAATACTACAGTTGTAGAATTATGTTATTGAAGAATAATGTTTATTAATTTTATTTTTAATTAGCTCGATAAGTTTATAACTTATTGAATCACGCATACTCAACAAAATCATTGAGCTTTATCAGCTGGTTGAAAATCAACCAAGAAAGCATTATACTGATCCATAATATTCAACTCTTCTAACTCATTAGTCTTATCATCGTATTGCGAGCCAACCGTCCACAGGGTTTCCAAATCGTAATGTTTTCTAGCAGAATCAGAAAAGATATGCAGAGCAATATTTCCTGCAATATAAAAAAATCATGTAATAATCTTGTCACAATTTTTAATATACAAAATTTAATTACCTAAATCTATTGCTATCCAATCTTTTGATTGCTCTCCTTCAATTTTAGGTATTTGGTCAGTCTGATGTTTTTTCAATTTATAAACCTTGCGTACAAAAGTGGCAAGTGCACTCATATGCTTCTGCGATTTTCCTGTCACAACAACAATGTAGTCCACATAAGCATATTCTTTTGGCACTGATGCAACAAAGATGTTTCTGGCTTTGTCTCGCTCTAGCAATGCGACGAGATCCTCAATGTCAAACACATCAGTAACACCATCTAAGATATACAATTTCATTGTTATTACATTATTAAAGGATATATATATATATATATATATATATATATATATATATATATATATATATATATATATAATCCTTTGCACACACACAGCATGTGTATTGGAACATTTATCTTATATATATGTTATTTTAAATCAAACTATATTATTATATTTTATTACATTCAATATCACATTACTATATTTTATAAAAATTACTGTGTTTTAATAATATAACATAAGTTATATAAATTTTTTGTATTATTATCACTGATTGCTTTAATATGGATGGCTCTCAATTTATGCTCACGACTTAGGTTTAGATCAGCGTAAGGATTATGGACTTCCTCTTGTGCCTGTAGTTCTTCAAGATTGATCCTCTGCCGTTCTTCGCTCACATCCAAGATTACGTCTGCATTCTCGGAGAAAAGCTTGTATTTTTCATTTATAGCAGCTGCAAGGTTATGATTATCACCCCTACGCACATTGTTATTCTCGTTGTCATACTTATTGCCTACATTATTCGAGAATCGTCTCGTTAATTTCAACTGAGAATACGTTAACGTCTTCGCGTAATTACCGCGCAATATTCGCCGCGTACAAAGAAGATTTTTCAAGATGCACGAACGCATGTCGACCAATTTGAAAAGTGAGGTTATAGATCGTAATATGATCGAAATGTATTTGTTACATTATACTCATTTTACAATTGTTACATTATACTCATTTTTGCACAGCAATTATGCATATATAAATTGTGCAAAAATTAAATATATATATATATATATATATAATTTTATTTTTACGTTCAAAATAATTTTACTTTTCAAATTTAATTTTTGATACTTGAATATCTATAAAAATACAAATGCACAAACACATTTTAGAGAAAATAAATATGAGATATTTGGATAAAAGACAAATTTTTATCTTGAATAGTTGATATATTTAACCAAACAAGATTTACATATATAAAATGCTCTCTGTGCAAAAAACATCCATTGAACTTGTATTTTGGAATTGCTGGTCAAAATGAAATGATGAAGAGTTTAGTCCGTCCACCAAAATTCTAGAAGTTCATCCATTGATTGAAGCAAACAGGTCTGTTCTTCCCACGGCTGAAATATTTCATAAGAATTGTTAGTTAAACAGACATTGATTCCTGGCACCGTGTAATAAAATTTATACTTACAGAGTCACGTGTGAAAATCCGTTTATTTGGACCTCGCACGCATCTTCCTCCTTTTGCGTTTTAGCCTACGCATCCTCTTCTTACGCCACTGCAAATTAAATACAAAAACATTAGCAATTTTTTTGTTAATAAAAATTTCCGTGTTCCTTTGTAAAAATTGCGATAAGTAGAACGCAGAAAATTTTTTCAAATTAACTAAAATAACGATAAAGAAACTAAATTCGATTAGCAAGCTTGTCGACACGTGACGAATTTTTTCGTCATGTGTAAACGAAGGTAGCTACACACGGACGCGAACGACGACTAATCCATTTCAATATCCATACATCTTACGTAGCGAAATAATCGTTTATGTTAACAAAATAAAATAAACATTAACAGTAGTTGATAATGACTTACCTTAGCTCTCATCTTACAAATTAAAGAGATCTATACACGTATAGAAACGTTCGATCACTTTGGATTTTCAGACTACAGTACTCGATGACTCTTCATATCAATATGGAAGAAGCAAAAGCACGTTCAGTTTTTCCAGGCAGGTTGCTTTTCGGGCATGCGCATACTCGTTTTTGGTACGTTGAAATAATTACAGACTAGACATTTCTCAAAATTACCAGAAAAGGAGCCAAAAGTTCTTTGTTCTGATTGGTCAAATTTCAATCTTCAATCTTCAATGTGTAGTCTGATATGGGCATTACGCCACGTTTATAGCTGTGTTCCAAAATTCACTGTCAGTACTGAAAATCTACAATATACGTGACGTAAACTATAGATTTTCAGCACCGGCAGTGAATTTCGGAACGCAGCCCTAGTACGAAAAATTGCACCGTGTGTTGCTAGCTTAATTTTATTGCGTCCCGAAACGCATCGAAAAAGAGGGTACTGCAATCTTTCTGTTGATAAGTTAACGTCGCTGTTCATTGTTGTTCTTTTACAGAAAGCTTCCTTTTTTGCTTACATTAAAAGTACAAAAACAAAGCAGTGTTTTGCACATAATTGCTACTTTTGACATGTCATCAGATGAATCGATATCATCGTTATCGTCATTATCGTCATCATCGTCATCTTCCTCAGAAGAGAAAAAAAGTCACGACTATAGAAGAAGCGAAAATCCAACAATATGTCATCGGAGCGTAGTTCGGTTGTATTTTATTTCTTAATTTTTTTTTCTATAAAATGCATGTTACCGAAAAATAGTGATGTCGTAATCGAAGACGTTAATTCACCGCATAAAATCAAGATGAAAAGCAGCAACAAAAGTAGAATTAATTAATCAAAGGATGAATATCTTCAATAACTTAAAAAATCAATTGTCAATAGAAAAATGCGGAAAAGGGAGAAAAGAAAATTGAAAGGCAACTTCGCGAATGGGAAATATCATATGGATCTCAAGAAGTGGCCGATCTTAAATTTGCTACAGCCAGAATTTGCTTCACGGATTGATACCGTTATGGTATTTGGTTCTGGTAATTTTTGTTTTGTTTTTTCTGTTATATTTTATTTTGGTAATATTGTTACACATTATGAGATTTTTTCAAACAGGTATGGAATGTAACGGGGCTCTAATCATAACTAGAAATAAAATGGTATATGCTTTAGGCAAGAATTCCAAAGGTCGATTGGGAATAGGCTTTATAAAGTATACTCTGCATCCAAGAATAGTGTCTATTCTTTGTCGGAAAGGCATAAAAACATTATTTCATCGTATACGTCCAGGTCCTCGCAAGTTTTCACAGGTTTTTGCTCTTACAGAAGAAGGAGAGGTATGTTAAAATCTGAATGAATGTATAAACATATGTGACAAAACTTTATAAGGCTTTTAATATTTCATTGTAATTATATTAAACTGTAAGGTTTTTAATATTTCATTGTAATTGTATTAAACTGTAATATTATAAGAAAGAAATCAAATTAAACTTTCTTGCATTATATTTTAAAATAACATTTTTTAAGTTTTTTAATGAAGTTCTTTTCACATATTGCTATTTATAGTGTAAATTGTTGAGATATAGTAAAGACTTGCTTTTTAGGTTTATAGATTAAGATATAGCTGTAAATCTTGATCAAATGTCATATCTAAATTATGTGATGTTTTGTATACAAAAGGAATGAATGATATAAAAATGTTTAATAGCTTTGTTTTTGAAAGGTATATTGTTGGGGTGATAATAATGGAAAAAGCTTAGGATTAGGAACTGCCAAAGAAACAGTGCGCACACCAACTCACTTGGCTTTTTTGCAACACTGTCGTATTATAGACATTGCATGTGGTGAAGACCATTGTCTTGCTCTTACGAATGATGGAAAAGTAAGTAAGAATTAACATATATGAATAATAATTATTATTTTAATAATTAGCTGTATTATGAGTTACATAATTCTTTAATTTAGGTTTATACTTGGGGTTTAAACATTTTTGAGGCAAAAAATGGCATAGTTATTATACACTATACACCAATTCAAATGAAAGATGAATTTGATGCAAAGAAAATTGTATATATTGCTTGTGGTCGTTGGTGTAGCGTAATAGTCACTGATAATAGTGACATTTACACTTGGGGCGATAATTTTGAAGTTGACTCTTATCGTGCCATTGATTATAGTGGTGATGATAATTATCCTAGTATTGATAACTGTAATGATAACAATATTGATAACAATTACAGGGATAATATACGTATAAAGCAAATTTTTGAAAACTTTAAAATGCCTCATAAAATTTTCTCACGAAAAGGCGTCAAAATAGGTAATTTGCTTGTCTATAAAATTTATTTTTAAAGCATGCGACATTCGACAAGAAGCAATTGATAAACTACTGAAGGACCAATATTAATGTTTCAGTTAAAGCAGTCTGTGGAAGCAGGCATGTAATAATGCTCACTGATAAAGGAGAGTTGTACGTCTGGGGCCAAAATAATTGTGGACAATTAGGCACTGGCAATAAAGAGAAAGTTCTTTCTCCAATTAAGGTAATTTGTCTATAATAATAATAATAGTAATAGTAATAGTAATAGTAATAATAATAAAGAAAAACAATCGAGAAAAGAAATTAAAAAATTTTTGGATCAACAGTTGGAACAATCTAAAATGGGGAAAGTGGTGGACATAGCTGCTATACATTGCGCCGACACAAGTGTTGCCTTGAATAAAGATGGACGTATCTATGTATGGGGCTCGTATTCTGGATTGCATATTGTGCTTCCCACAGTTACCTTGTTTTCGAACATGTATGATGTTTTCGCTTTCAATAACTCAATGGGCATTATGTATCGACCGTTGATCATGTTGGGTGAAGAGTTAAGTGTATTAAAATCTGTGGAAACTATGTTCGATGATCCCGTAAGTTTTATCCACTAGCTTTTATTTATTTTATACACTATTTAGCTTGGTCATTCTTCTATCAAACTTTATTTTAAGTAAATTTTCAAATTTAAGTAGATATAAGATTTTTTTAAATGAAAATAAAATCTATTGAAGGTATTATGATCATTATTTGAATAATTTTTGTTCTCGAAAACATGTATTAAACTTTGTTTTTAATTGGAAAATACAAAAACTTTATCGTACATTAATTTCATATTATGTACACTTGTTTTATCACATATAATTTTTATTTTTTCTTTTGTTATAGGCAACAAGTGATCTTACGATAAAAGTCAAAGGAAAGCCTATTTATGTTCATAAAGCTATGTTAAGGGCTCGTTGTGAGTATTTCAGAAATATGTTCCAACATAATTGGGCAGAATCCAATCAAAAGTAAGTATTTATAAAAGAATTCTCATTATACATTTCTTAAACTTATTAATCTTGTTCTTTAACTTAATTTTTTGCACGTTGCCTTGTTCTACAGTGTCATCGAAAACGAACAATTTTCATACTCCATATACAAGGCTTTCTTAAAATATTTATATACTGGTGTAGTAGATTTACCTCCCGAAGATGCATTCAGTAAGTTAGAGTTCAGAATGTTATTATTTAAAATTCGTTATTATTTAAAATTCACGATTAAAATAGTGTTTCTTTACTCATAACAGATCTCATAACTTTAACCGAAGTCTATTGCGAGACAAAGCTTAAGGAGGAATGCGTTTGTATAATAAAGGAAAAAATTACTGTGTCAAATCTAGCGTTTATTTACGACAAGGCAAAAAAATACAATTTAAAGGTAATGATTGTTATTTGTAATGTATTGCTCTGAATTTAGAAATCTTAATACTAAAATTTATTAAAATAAATTTATATATCTGTCAATATTATCAAAATTTACAGGAATTGGAAAAATATTGCTATAAATTTGCTGAAGATCGCAAAAAATCCGTTATTCTAACTGAAATTTGCTCCAAGTGGAATGAAAAAACCAAAGATGCTTTTATGCCTAATGCAGCAAATGCTGGTTCGCCATCCTCCTAAAGAGTACAATGCAATATATTAAAATAAAATATAGAATATATTTCGACAGAAAGTTATGACAACTCTGTTCCTAAATGTTACATTTTTTAAAAGAGAGAGAGAAAATAAAAGATTGGTTTTTTATCATTGTACTTTTTATTATTAATATGTATTTCCAAGTGATGAGCGTTTGTTGATTTCTTTATGTATCTTCATACACTGCAAATAATTATGGAAATTTATGTGGATATACCTTGACATTTTCATTTATTTCCAAAACTAAAGACCCTAGAAGTCGACCTTCTAGGGTCTTTATCCAAAATCGATTCCGCGTTCCGAAGTGACATCGTGTTGCATGCCGCATTCCGTCGTTTTCCCGCGTTTAAAGCCCATCCCGCCAAGAACAGGACACAGCTGAGTGGTTTGGCATATATGGACATATACTTGTTGCGCAGGAAATGACGTGTTGCATCAAGATCTTGATAGATAATTTTTTATCGTAAAAACTGTTGACACGAGCATATTTCGTACTTTTATTTCGTGAACATTCTGAAGAATATTTGTGGTGTACAAAATAAGAATTTGGAACGGGAAGATATCGTAATAAAAGGAGAGAATTTCGTTGATCTGTGAAGACGTCGTGACAGTAGAAGAGAATTTCGGTGAGTTGTATACAAATTTTATCAAACTTTTCTTCTTTTGGAGAGAAATTGTGTTGATTATACACACTACATTAATTAATTAATTTCTGTGCTTAGTGATATTCTTAAATTTAATATTATTTTTACTTAGAAATCTGTGGTATCACATTGGCTGACACACAGCAACGATGTCGAGCGTACAGACCACAATTTCTTTTCCTATTCGAAAGAAATGCAATTTCTATGGGCGCAAAGAGGACGTTGCGAGAGAGGATTTCTCGAACGCAACAGCGAGACACACGTTGTCCACATACACACCGACTGTAAAGAAGATCGTCACTTTGACCAGCAGTGAATCTGAGTCTGACTCTGATATCGAGAACACGAAGGCAGAAAAGCATAAGAGGGTGAACGTGAAGAATAGGACGAATAGTACCACCAGCACACCGAGACAACGCAAATGCAGTGAATCAGATGGTGAATCTCAGACTAAATGTCAAGCTACATTTGTTACATGAATATGGAGTACAATTATTTATTTGAATGTTTCTTTCAAGGTATCTTATATTTTTAATATGAGAATTTATATCATATATTGAAAAACAACTTATATACAATTTATAGATTTTTTTTATTGTGATCATAATATGTCTATGATTATAATAAAAATTTGTATAAATTGTATAGATAAATTGTTTCCCCATATATGGGATATATATTCTCAAATTAAAAATATTTTTTAATTAATAAAAATTATAGTTATATTTATATTATATAATAAAAGTTATAAAATGAATACTATCATACTATATCTATAACTGTGATATAATATAAATTATGTCTTATTTCAGAGCAACATACTCCCACACCACCCAAACAGAGAAGAACCAAGCTACAGTTACAGTCCTCTCTAACGCCATCCACTCTTCTGGACAAATTACATTTGTCTACTGAAAAAGAAGGCAAATTAGCTCCCAAGCAGTTATTTGGTCTGCATTCTCGCAAAAAGGAAGATAAATTAACTTCTAAATCAATATTTGAATCCAACAAGTATCAAAACGCGCGCAAAGCACTACACAGTTCTGCGACAGAAGACTTGCCTGGAAGGGAAGAGGAGTTAGCTAGATTGCGGGAATTTTTGCTGGGATACTTGGAGAGTGAGATGTCGGGATCACTATATATTTCTGGTCCGCCCGGCACCGGCAAGACTGTTAGCTTGTTCAAGATCATGCAGCAGCTGGATTTGAAATCTAAGTTCAAAGTGGTCTACGTCAATTGCACCACCGTCAAATCTGCAGCAGCTATCTATGCAAAGATAATCCAGGAACTGGCCATAAACACGACAAAGTCGAAAAACAGCAAGGTTATCATAGAGAAATATTTAAAGTCCAGACACAAGACGCTGCTGCTAGTGCTGGACGAGATCGATCAACTGGAGAGCAAGAATCAATCTGTGCTGTATAGCATATTTGAGTGGCCATCCATACCGAAATCCCGGCTAGTCCTCGTCGGTATCGCCAACGCGTTGGACCTCACTGATCGGATACTGCCCAGACTGCAGGCGAGATGCGAGCTAAAACCGACACTGATGCATTTTGCGCCATACACGAAACAGCAGATAGCTGATATAATATCCGCGCGGCTGCAGCAAGCAAATGCGACCTGCATTTTCACTGCATCAGCGATACATCTGCTTGCGGGCAAGGTAGCCGCGATCTCTGGAGACATCAGACGTGCTCTGGATATCAGCAGGCGAGTGGTGGAATTGGCCGAATCACATCAGCTGGCGCAAGTGTTGCGTCCGTCGAACGATAATGGTAATTTTCTGCTTTGATAAAATATAAAAGATTAATATTAAAATTATAATGATATAAAATATTAAAAATCTAATAATGTCAAATACTACGTTGGTGCAAAAGGTTTGTGGAACTTGTCAAGTAAGATAAAAGACAGAAACTTACATTATAATTTTTATAAACTAAAATATCATTGATTCCAATACATTATTTTTATCGGAAGACAAATTTTCATATGATCCAATTTAAAAAACACCAAGCTCTTATAATAACTTTATTTAAAATAGATTTTTATGGAGAAGCGACAAATCTTTTGCATCAACCTAATAGGAATAATAATTAATTTAAATAATTAAGAGAACATACATGTGTATGTGTGTGTCTAATCTTCTATTTTTAATGTAGATGTAAATACAGAGTCTTTAAAGAAGCAGACGGAAGTAACAGAAAAACCAGCTGACTTAAAGGAAGTAGTTACGATCCTAAATGGAGTCTACGGAGGCACGCAAAATCTCGACAAAGAACAGGACACGTTTCCTCTCCAACAAAAATTATTACTTTGTGCCATGTTGCTTATCCTGAACAAAGGAAGAAACAAAGACATCACTATCGGAAGAGTAAGTTCATTAATAGTTTATTGAACCGTTATTAAAAGCTTATTAAAATATGTTATGTTAAATTATTATATTTAAATATGTAATTAGTTGCATAACGTTATGGTTACTAAATTTAATTTAATTATAACTATGTGTTATTTCTCATGCAACATTGTTTATTTCAGTTGTATGAAGTCTACAAAAAAGTCTGTAAGAAGCGTAACGTGCACGCTGTCGACATTTCCGAATTCGTAAACTTATGTTCACTGATAGAGACCAGGGGCATTTTGAGAGTCATTGGCAGAAAGGAGGCACGTTTGCGCAAGGTAAATCTGCAGTGGGATCAGGAGGAATTAGATATGGCCTTGCAAGACAAGGAGATGTTGAGTGAGATTATCAACGATGCGAGTTGCTTATAGAATAATTCGAAAAATTTAACGTTTAATTTAATATCGTTCAGTTGCTATTAATTTATTTGATACTTTTTACATATTTTGTATATAGCATGGGCACGTCGTGATTGTCGATCGATTGTTACATTATCATGGAATATTTTTCCACTTAGTATTTTTCTAAATGACTGATATATTTTAACATTTGTATAAAGTTATTTTGGACGCCACTGCTATGTATCACATATCACATTGTATATAATGTACTAAATTTTTAAGTTTATACAGAATACACTGTGAGCACGTCTGATATTTGCACAAAATGTAAGATATATTTTGACGATTATAAATAAAGTATATTTTATATAAAATAAATTGGATGTAATATGTGAGAAATTCTTTTCTTCTCCATTTTCTTTAATTAATGCTAAATTACATATTCGTATTTCTGAATGAAACAAAATATTGAAAATTAAAAAAATAACGAAGTAGAATATTAATATTAAAAAAAAGGGTATAATACTGTTCAAAAACGAAGGCCCGTGGTGTTTTATGTACGATCATGCGAAGTTAGTTAAGGTTAGGGTTAAGTTAGGTACAAATTACATTAGGTTAAGAGCTCTCGGTTATATTCACATTGTTTACCCTACAATCATAAAAATGTAGTCAGGGGATTGAATGTGTAACAGTCATTGTCAATGTAACATATGAATCTTAAAGAATCTCAAGGATGTATCTTGGGACGCTCATCCCCAAAACGTTTCTCAACGCAATTGTAGGTTTAGCTTTTATATTATTTTTCTGTGAATTTCTCGTGTATTACTTGGTACTCATACAGGTGAGTGTCTGCAATATCACTTTTTATTTTCTTATTGAAAGAACTCAACTTTTCAATAAAGAAGTTTCCAATCTATTCTAAACTAACTTAAAAATTATTTGATCTCAGTGCGAATGGCCTGCTTTAAATCCTCAAAAAGAAGATCTCAGTGTACGTGTGGACACAATGGATAAACCTGTGAAAGCAATGTTCATTGCAGATACTCATTTATTAGGTTCCAGAGAGGGTCATTGGTTTGACAAATTACGCAGGTTTGTGCATCAAAAGTCTTCAATTAGATATATCTATTAACACGTTGAATGCCATTGGTGACCCTCAGCAAGAAAAGGTTACAAAGTATCGTAATATAATATAATCCCCATTGAATCATTTTATTACAATATTTTATCACTTATCGTTATATTAAATATAACGAAAATTTCATTGAGGCCTGATTGGTGAGACATGTAAAATTCGCGAGGCATTCAACATGTTAAATATCTTTTTGTGTAATGTTTATCTTATATAATATCCATTAAAAAATGATTGATACATTGTTGCAGGGAATGGCAAATGTACAGAGCATTCCAGACTATGATGGCATTACATCGACCAGATTTAGTTTTTATATTAGGTGTGTAGCATTTACATTTTTAATCCTTCAAGTCTTGACATATCATATATAAAGCGTAGACTTTAAACTAAAATAATTCTAATGCTTGTTCATAGATTAATTTTATTTATTTTTTACATAGAAATATAATAGAAATTAAATCTTTTTAACAATGTAAACTCAATCCAAGACTCAAAGGATGTGACATAATTCTAAAGATCCTTGCTTCATCATCATTATTTATAATATTTATAATATCAGGTGATATTTTTGACGAAGGGCAATGGTGTAGCTCTGTCGAGTTTGAGTACTACATACGAAGGTTCCATTCCCTGTTTTATGTGCCCAAAGACACGCATCTCTATGTTGTTGCTGGCAATCACGATATGGGATTTCATTATGGTATGGAATGTGCCTTTATGAATGTTTTTCTTGGAATAATAGATTCAAAATAATGTGTTTTTTAGTTAAATCAAACACAAGAGTATTGTAATTGTATTTTAATCACTTCTGCGGCTCACTCTTGGGTTACATTTGCAGCGATCACTCCATATCGCAATCAGCGATTCATTAACGGTTTAAAAAGCTCGAATGTGCGACGGTTGAGCATACGTGACAATCACTTCGTGCTGATCAACAGCATGGCGCTGGAAGGGGACGGCTGCTTTCTGTGCCGACCAACTGAGATGGCGGTGAACAAAATAGCCAGTGAGCTATCGTTCATGCACTCTCGTACTGCATATCCAAGATTCCTGTAATCGATTAATGGTTAAAATATCTATCACATTGCAGAAGATCTGAAATGTGCGAGAAAGATCGACAATGATTGCTACAACACAAGCGCGATCTTCAGATATAGTAGGCCTATACTGTTGCAAGTTAGTTCTTCCCTTATGTTATAATTTACAAATAGCATCATTAAAAGTTCAATTCAATTCCGAGGAAAAAATTCTGTTTGCAAAATTAACAAAGATGTATTCCTCTCGCAGCACTATCCAATGTATCGAGAATCCGACGAGATCTGCAACGAGCTGGATCAGGCACCCGATGAGATAAAGGCCATCAAGTTCCGAGAGCGATGGGAATGCCTGTCGAAAGAGGCATCGGAACAAGTACGTTAATAAAAATGTCATTCATTGCATTGTCACGTGTATTTAAATGCTGACGCAAGATTCAACAGTGTACTTTTGTAGCTTCTAGATATCCTGAATCCACGATTGATCGTCGCTGGCCACACGCATCACGGTTGCAGGAAAATACATCGAGAGGACGTCTTGGAATTTACGATCTCATCCTTCAGCTGGCGCAACAAAGTCAATCCGTCTCTCCTCATGGTAAATTTCATCTAATTGTTAAATGTTAATTCATTACGGGCTCTCAGTTTATACACTTTCATACGAAAATTTTAACAATTTTCATATTTTATATAGTAAAAGATAAAAAAACTTTGCTATAGCAATCAACTAAGAAATATTATTTATTAAACACGTTTTAAATTAATTTTAGTAATAAGCAATATTCCTTAAATTGCTCCTTAAATTTAACTTTTAAGCATTACATTTTAATGCTATTTAATGATTCTGGTATTTGATCCGGGTCTCTATAAGTGAAAACAATAAAGCTTAATTAAAATTTAGTGTATTGTAATTATAACCTGCAATATGAATTATCTCTGTCGAGACACCGTCTGTAAATGATGTCTTTATTTCAGGGCACTTTCACTCCCAGCAATTATTCCGTCTCCAAGTGTTACATGCCCGTGGAGTCTACTGTAATCCTTATTTATAAAGTCAGTCTGACATGCGTGTTTATATATCTGATAGTGAAACTCAGACCCAGACGATACGCGTATTCTCGCTTGAAGATGCCTTGACAACTTTGATCATAAGGAAATTTCGATCTTATAGTAATGCTTATATTCTATTATATATCACAATGATACTCATGTGTGCGGAGGATATAATTTTCGAAATATTCAGAACAAATTTGCATACACTTTTCGTACACGTGTATCGATCGCGTATTATATACATCAGTGATATAAAACATTACTCTTGTGATATATTATATATAACGGTCATATTAATCTCGATGTATATAGTTCTACTACGGAAAAACACGTTTACTAAAAGACTTTTTATACACAAGTGTTGATATGATTTTATACAAGTGGACGTTGCGGGGAAAAAAATTGATATTATAAATCGAATCTCAATGGAGAGAATCAGACGTTCTCAAAGTTTCTGATATAATGTCTAAAAAGTTAAGGAATGAAAATGTAACTCGCGCGAGCGTAAAGTAAATATGTAAACTTTATATTGTTATTCTTACATTATATATGCTACGATCATTATTATCATTATTATAACAACGATCTGCCAAGATGGTTGCAAGACTGCATGTATTGTAACGTATTCTCATTAAAGGAAACGTATGATTAACACTTCAGACTGGCTCATTATCGGCTATATAATACTTTCGCACGTTGTCTGTTACTAATATCACATCACTTGAATATTTTTACAGAGCTCCTGGTTTCTTTGCGACGAGGAACAATATTGATATAGCCTGTATCCTGATCGCGAATTTCATCGATTATTTTCTCTTGTGTCATTGTGAATGTATCATAAGTACTCACAGGGAAAATCGCACGACTAACTTAAATAAAAAATAGATCTATCATACAGCGGAAGCTCCAGATTCGCATACTCTTTGTTCACGGATAAAAATTTGCTTCTCCGCGTGAAGATATAATGGAAATAATAAAATAAATAAAAGTATTTGTTAATACTTGTATTGCTAAAATAATTTTCTACTACTTTCGTTAAAAAATATATATTTATATTTTGAAATAACTCATATATTATATATCTGAAACCTGTAATTTATTATATATTTATATAAATATAAATTATTTATATAAATATATATAAATTTATATAAATATATATTTTCAAATATGAAATAAAAACTATATATATATATATATATATATATATATATATATATATATACTATACTATATATATATATATATATATATATATATATATATATATATATATATATATATATATATATATATATAATAATAATAATAATATAATATATATATATATATATATATATATATATATATATATATATATATATATATATATGTATACAAATTTTTTTCTCTAGTACACAAGCTCCGGGCGAATATGGAGTTTTTACTGTATTTGTATGACGGACGCAACGATAAACATTTAGAAATCTTATTATCAACATATCGATATATTCATACACATCAGTCACAAAACTCGGTGCAATCGTTTGCAATGTCAAAATTTCGTGGAAGATAAAGATGCATCAGCTCCCAATTCACTCATTGCTTCTATATGAAAATTTAAGCCCTCTCCTCTTTCTCTGACTCTTTCATCCGCTCGCTTGCTCTCATTAAATTAAAAAAATCTAAATTTATTCGCTCATATATTACTAAACTAATGATAATTTCGACTAGTCTATTTTGACAGCCGCGTATATCTTCCTGATGAAGGCATACGCGGCGAAGAAACCGATCGTGCCAGTCAATAGCCAAAACGTGAGCACCATGAGCAACGTATAACCGAAGTACATGAGTGTCGGCACTAGCTCAGTAATCTCCAGCTTGGTGACGAAGTAAAAGATGGAATACGCCAGTACATAAACTGCTGATCCGCCGTTTACGATAAAGCTGCGCCACCACCACCTGTAATCCTGTCAAAGAAGAATGTTAATAAAGCAAAAAATTAAAATATTACAAAGAAAGTTTAACTAAAATTAAAGAAAAAAAACTAACTTTGTTAAAAAAATGCATTTTTAAAAGAGAAATTAAGTGTCGAATTAAATGTCAAAGGTAAATTGAAAAGAAAAAGTCTTTCTGGTAATTATTTGTTAATTTTCTTGCTGTACTTACTTCACCACATAACTGGAAGTAGACCATGACTATCGACAATTGCGAGCATGATATTACAAGAATGCAAAACACAAGAAATAGAAAACCGAAGAGATAGTAGAACTGATTCTCCCACATTGCGGTCAGGATAAAGAATAGTTCGATAAATACCGCACCAAACGGCAGGATTCCAGACATCAGAGTACTGCACAAACGAGATTTTTCTAATTAAAAATTATTGAGAAATATTACTATTAATTATATGTTAATATGTTACTATTTGTACAATTATATGTCTTGTATTATATATATATTTGCATATAATTATATCATATTACAATTTTTAATTGTGATATTTATTAACAGTTAATAATCAAATAAAGGAGGCATACAAATATTTTTTTAAACTTACCACAATATCGGATTCATGTACCACAGTTGGTCAGGAACTTGTCTGGGGATTTGATTCGTTCGAACTGGATGCATGAAGGGCTGCTTACGGTAGCCAAAGAAGTAACCGAGATAAACCAGTGGTAGCGAGATGCCGAACCAGAGACACAGCAGGGCCACCATGGTGGTGAAAGGAACAGCACCGGAGCTGTGCTTGCCCCAGATGAAGAAGTTCAGGAAGAAGCACGTCGTGAAGACTATGCCGGGATAGAACGTCGCCGTCTACAAACGAAAATGGTAAAAATGGATTGTATAGAAACATATATTCATATATTATCGAGATAGAAAGAAATGTTATCTTTATAAAAATATTATTAATATATTATATAATTAATATATTATATAATTCTCATATAACATTTTTACCAATAAAGCGGCTCTCCTCCATTCTCGACCGCGCATTGTCTTGTACAGTCGTGCCGAAAAATAACCGGCAATTAGGCCGGAAAATACATACAAAAATATCGCACAAGTGCCCAAAGCACCACGACTCGCCGGCGATAGCATTCCCAGCATCGCAAAGACTGCAAAAAATAAATATATGTAGTATGTAAAAGTAATGTAATATCAATTTCTACGTTATTTTTGGAATTAGAAAGAAAAAAAAAAAAAAAAAAATAAATATATATATATATACACATATATCCTACATATTGTAATCAGAGCCATGAAGAAAATCTGGATACCACTGCCGATCACGGCAGCGAACAAGCGCGAGTTGTTCGGTGGTCGGAACACATCGCCATGCACCAACTTCCAACCGGTCTCCTCAATGGCCTCTTCCAAGGGCGATAAGTTCTCGGTTTCGCCTGCGTTGTATCGGGCGATGTCCCGTCTGAGTGTCCTCACCATAATCATAGTTATAATTCCTATAATTATGCAATTTCGAAATTAACATAAAAAACTTTACCATGCTTTTCATATATTATATAATTATTATTTAGCATTATCCATGTTTCATAGACAATCGAAAAGTAATTAACGTGCAATATTCTAAGAAATGTGAAAATTATTATCGAATGTTTTTGATTACGTATATATTTTATTTCTTCAAAAGTTTTATTTTGTTGAAAATTATAATGTAATCCATAAAAAGATATTTTCTTTTAAACTTTGAAACGCGTTAGAAATGCAAAACCATTCTATAATTAAAAGTATCATAATCTTTTTGTGATTATACAAGAATTCGGTAAATTGTAATGCTGATAATTGTGCTCTTACCGGATAAGAAGAAAACGACAATGAGAGAGTTAATGACGGCAAACCAGTGAATCTCGACGTCGTTCATGCCAAGATACATGTCCCATCTACTGGCCCAGCTGACATCTGATTGCCTCCACTCCACTGAGTATAGAAAACGTAGCTTCGTGCCTTTGGAATTGACAAATTGTGGGCTTGCCTCATTTGGCAAAATGCAAGTATTCCCGTCAAATTTCAGCTGTGACGTGTCAATAGATCGATCCTCCACCTCAAATCCGACCACTCGAAATTCGTTCCTGCAGATAAAAAAAATCATAATTTTTAATTGCAGCTCTTTCTGTGAGCTCTTTTGTTCTCTGTTCGTAAGCTGTCATGATTTTTTCTTTTAATTTGATCAATTTTAATTGTTAATTTAATTCAATTCTAAATTTTATACATAAGCACACTTTGAATTAAATTATACTCACTCGCCATGCTTATGATAACTCAACTTCAGTTTGAGGTAATTGTTGATGTACACTTGATCATTCATTATTCCACCCAGACGATACCCTTGATAAACAATCACATTATTCGTTTCTTTGTGTTTCTTCCTGGTAGCTGCTGGCAGATTGTCTATCAACCTGCAAAAAATGTAAGATAAACAAAATTAATTTGTGAATTTTATGAAATTAAATTTTGATATAGAACAATAAAATGTCCTTACAAATGCACAAAATACTCGTGCTGGACCATCTGAATAACATGCTGAGAATTTGCCTCATCCCAATTCATAAATTCCTTAGATGTTTCGTGACATAATAATCTGCAGCTAATGTCCTCTCCCATTAAGACTTCATATGGAGTATTCACTATTCTGTAAAACGTATAAATAGAAATGATTAAAATTGCATTTGTAGTAATATAAAAATATAAAACAATAAGAATGTAATAAATTAACATAAAATAATAAAAATTAAAGTTTAAAATTAGTTAGCAAAAAAATTAATAATATATTAAAATCATAAAACAATCTAAAAAATAATAAAATCAAGATTAAAATATCATTAATTAAAAAATAGTATATCTTTTTATGAATTATTGTGTTTACCTGTCGCCACGCAGTACTTCTCCTAAATTTTCAGACTTATAAATAATGGTTCCATTTTTGGGTAAACAAAAGGGAAGAGAATAATATTCATACGGCAATTGTGTATGCATGCTGGTCATTTTGACTGCCTTGACATCAATTTTCTGCCCCTTCTTGAATTCCACAGGAGCCACTCCAGGCACATAGAATCCATTTGTCTCAATCAAGAAAGATATCACCACTAGTATAGCACTATTTCTTTGTAATCTTCCCTGTTATTAAAAATTTCATTGATTAATATAAAGCTAGACTTAAATTAATTGTATCAAATTTCATTAGACCACTAAAGTTTATAAATTGTAAAATATAAGCATAATATTAAATATATTACAGTAGCTTTTTATATAAATTATAGGAAATAGGAAGAATTATTTTCATGCAACAATCAGGATTTTATAATGATTCTTGTAACCAAAGTACTCGCGTAAACTCTTATACAACAAGCGCGGTTGCAAGTTTTTTTTATCATTACATAAGAATATTATATTCGATGCATTTTATCATTACTTTTACAATTAAACTTACAAGAAATTTGTGAGAATTCAGCTACGCGCAGTTGCGTAAACATCGACGCAAACTAGAATGAATCATAGATATGTGCGCCTGTAGAAAAATGCTATTTGCTTGGACATTATTAATATAAACGTAAAAAGAAAGAAATGTAACAATGTGGACTGCATAAAGTATTTGTATAATTGACACCACAAATCGTATTGTCAATTTAACAGCAGCGAGATGCGCACGATGAAACAAGGACGAAAAATGCCGCTGTGAGGTTGTGTCACGCCCGGAAGCGTAACGCCAGAATTTCGATTAAAATCGCGCACTTCAATAACAGACAATGAATAAACATAGTAATTACACTCACCATTCTACGTGATTATTGTCGCTTCCAGTAAAGGCGCGCCACGCCGTCACTTGCTGTCTTTAGCCTGCAATCTCGCTACAACCTCACTCCTACCGATCCTACCGATCACGTCAGAAATGAGCCTGAATGAGCCTCTCGTGCATTGAAACTGGTTGCAGAGCGGGCGCAACAGCGCGCCAACATTGTCACAAAAAATTTCCTACCTTCCGACGTTCCATAAAATCTGCAACAAAAAACACATTTGGAATTAGCGCGGTAACATAAACTTCTTGCTCTTAAATAAGAATATTATATCCCAACGGATTTTATTTTACATTCAATTTTACGTCAGATTTGTCAAAGTTTAATCATATGTAATTGCACGCGTAAGCATCTATATAGTAAAATAAATTGTGTGCAGATAAAAATGACAGTACATTGTTAATATAAATGTAAAACTATGCAACTACAATTATTGTGTTCATTTATAATTGCTTTTAATAAAAGCGCGTTACGCCCGCCACGCCGTCGCTGTTCCAGCTCGTTGTCTTCAGCTTAAATTTCGCAATCACCTTGTATGCCTATCGATCAATGTCACAGGTTGGCCGGGTTCGCGCATGCGAAAAATGGTATCAATAAAAAAAAGTATACCGGTGATTGTCTGACGAAAACCATCGAATTTGTTAAAATTTACATTTAGTATAATTTAATAAATTTGCAATGTTTAAATCCATTATTTAATATAAATATTAATTACAGTAATATTAATTAACTTACAAATTGTTCTAACCTCTACGTTTGTCAAGCCCGCCAAAATTTGCACTTCCACAATATTCTCTATACGTCATAATTTAGCATTTCCTAGTTTACGATATAAAGAAAGTATAAAAGAAAATGTATTTGAAACTGTGTAGAATCTCCGAAAGTACTTTATTTATGGTATAACTTAAAACAATCATAAAAGCTTACAACAAAAAGGTTATGATACTTTTCAGTTTGATAAATTTTAACCAAACATCGAAATTGCAGGCTGTTCTCGCGATTTTAATGTGTTCCAAAACTCATCAAATTTTCTCTTATAAATGTGGCCAACATTTATGAAAAAAAATATCTAGATTATAAAAAGTGTGGTATTTTGTATATCTACAAAAACCATTTATTAGTAAAAAGCATTTGAAAATATTAAAAATTTTTTAAGTTTTTCTGCATTTATTGTAATTCAAAACGGTTGTATTAATAAGAAATTGCAAATTTATTTTAAGACTGACGACTTTGTTTCGAAGATGGCGCCGCTTTTTCCTCTCGTTACTTGAACGGAAGTCTCGCTTCGTTAAGACGCGAAAGGCAATATTTCCCTACAACAGATGCATCAATTGTCATTTCACGGAAACGAAAAAATAAAGTGACGTTGCCTGGTGCATTTCAGTGGTCAAATGATGACAAAGCGAAGAGTATAGTGACTCGTGTGACAGTCACTGCACTGACCAGACTTTTCCGTGCGAAAAAATACACCCCCCCGAAAAGGAAAATATCGTCCCACGTGGGGACTCGTTTAATTACAAGTTACGTTGTTTGGATATGCGTCTGTCGGGTTGATTTTTCGCGCGGAAGCATGGTGCAGGTGAGTGAGCGATCCGCATACGTGTTCGCGACGCGTTTCGCGGTCGCGCCGCGTAAATTCGACGCGATTTCGTAGTGCCAGCTTGCGATCGAGAATTTTTGATTGTTTTTTTTTCCCCCGTCCCCGTCCGCTGTCATCCATTAGTAAATAGGAAAGATGGCAGCAGATTATTGCGCTTTTTTCCCCCGGTGCCTTTGCGCCCCGGCGGACATTTTTCTCGTGCGGCGGGCTGACCCCGTGGCGTGTGCCGATCCCGGAGCTCGTGCGGACTTCCTTACACCGAAAATCTCACTGAAATCGCCCGCCGAGTGCGTTTTCACGAGTGAAATTCATCGGCACGCAAGTTTTTTGAATGAAACACCGCGATCGCCGGGACATACGCAATCCGCGCCGCGATCCTTTACCCGGCCCCGATGCGTTCCGTACAAAACTCGCGAATTCTGTGAGCGTATCCGCGAAAAATATCTCCGCGCCCGCTTAACCTATGCACATAAGGGTTGAATTTGACGTAAATAAACAACACGCCGCGCTCTGATTTCTTTAGAATATTCAGTAATTGCAAAGAAAATTACTGACGATGATTGTAAGCCTCGAAATTATTTATATTAATCACATTAATATTACATGAATTATTATATTTCTATCAAAAATGGCAAAAATTATAAGAATGTCATTTTAATTATTTTATTTATGTCGAAAGCATTGTATATTTTTATATAAAAAATGCTAAGTGTATAAAACGAAATATTTATTGCCTATATGCTAGTATTCGTAGCAAAATGTTAACACATTAATCAAGTAGTTTACATAGTACAAGGCACTTTTGTCATATTTATATGAAGATTAGATAAAGAGTCTATATAAGTTTATCAAAAGTTCAGAGTTCAGAGTTTTCTAAAAATTATAGAGCAACTAATAACAATTTCTTCCATTCGACAAGAGATTTAACTTTTGTTTCGTAATTTATGAAAAATACATAGTTATTTTTATCTTGACTTCTGATTAATATTTATGAATGTAGGCTATCGACGAGATGGAGCAGCGGGATCTGCCCCAGGCATTCCGCTTGCTGGGTGAGATGAATGCCAATGTGCTGCAGGTGAACCAGCTGGTGGACAACATGCTGGTTCGTGTAAAGAATGGTGAGATCTCCACAGATAAAGGGCTGAGCTTCCTGGAGATGAAGTATCACATGCTGCTCTCGTATCTCATCAATTTGACATACGTGGTGCTGAGAAAGTGCTCAGGCGAGCGCATCGAGGGCGATCCATCGATCGATCGTCTCATCGAGATCAGGACTGTCTTGGAAAAGATTCGACCGATCGATCACAAGCTCAAGTACCAGATAGATAAGCTGGTGAAGACTGCCGTCACTGGTACCGTCAACAGCGACGATCCCAGCAACTTCCGAGCGAATCCTGACGCACTGATTGCCAAACTCGATAGCGAGGACTCCACTGATAGTGAGCAGGAGGAGGAGACAGATGGCTTCAAATCGACGACGCAGCAATCCAGGAAATCAGGTGTTTATGTGCCACCAAAACTCGCTGCGGTACCTTACGGTCAGTATTTGAAATAAATAACTGCAATAAATAAACATAAAACATATGAAATATCCTGATTTTTACATATAACATTTTTGTTTACACTAATTATTCACACTATGTTGTAATTTTTTCAGATGGCGACGAGACAAGGGCGGAAAAGATCCGCAAGGCTGGCGAGCGGGCTCGCAGACGCGCCGTGTCGAACACGGTGCTGCGGGAACTGAAAGAGGAATATCTGGACGCGCCCGTGGAGGATAGCCAGGGCCTAGGTGAGAAGCGGGCAATCCTAGTGCGCGAGGACAAGCGGAAGATCGAGTACGAAGAGAACTACATGACGCGCCTGCCCGTCACCAAGGAGGAGAAGCACAGGCGTCGCCAGATGACGACCCTCGGCACGCTCGGCGATGAGATCACCGCTTTTGGCGAGCCATCCGCCAAGTCCGCTAAAAAGAGGAAAGCTCAGAGAAAGGGCAAAGCTAAAAAGAGTAAGAATTCTACCGTAACCGCCTATGAACATGTACAAACGGACACTAAAGTTGAGTATTCCGATTTTCTTTGCAGGTTTCAAGAAAAAACGACATTAAGGGACGACTTCGAGGCTTTGGCAAGACCCGGAGTTTCATACAGCATTAACGATTAAGGTAAAAGACAAGAGAAAAACATAAGGAAAAATAAATTTACTCGATTTCTTCTTCGAAACAAGAGCAGATGCCACTAATACTCGTTACTAAGTTAAGCTAAAAAATAACGTCGTAACGTCTAGTAATAAAAGTAAAAGAAAAAAAGACAACGTGTGTCGGGACGGTGGAGTAAGAATAGCACGATGGTAATTTATTACTGTATAAGACATACTAATGGTCGTGTAATTGATAATTCTAGTTAATAATGATTTTAATCTTTAACTGTTGTCCGAGAGAGATCAATTTTGATCTATGGAGTTGATAAGACGAGAGAAAGATCCATCGGGAGAGAGAGAGAGAGAGAGAGAGAGAGAGAGAGAGAGAGAGAAATAAAATAAAAGGTATTCCACGCGAGTATGAATGGTTTGAGAGAGAGAAACGAATGTCAGGCATATACGATGGACACATACGAGCTTAATGGAAATTATGTGTCGCAATAGCGTATATCGTATCGTAATATTGGATCGAATAGTGGATTAAAGAAAAAAAATGAAAAAAAAGAAACGGCTCCAAGATTGAAAATTGTGAATTACACATGTAAAAGTTGAAAGCAGAACATTTCTCTGCTTTATTTTGAAATATTCTCCGGCTATATAGGGAACGGAAAAGAAGCGCAAGAGGAATGGCGGGCGGAAGTCAGTACGAGCATAGCGGGAGAGATGATATTAAATTAATTGTTAACGGAAGCGTAAAAATCACAAGACATTCTGCAAGAAGTTTTAGAAAACTCGAGATTTAAAAAAAAAGAAAAAAAAACACAAACGTTCTTTAGGAATCGCACGCACTCGGTGCAACTTTGAAAAAGAAAAAAATAAGCAAAAAAAATGAGAAGGAAAAAACGATATTTCATCGATATCGCATGTCTTAGGATTTTCTCGCTGTCTTAGAGTGTAGTGAAGTAGTTACTAGTTTTACTATATTATATGTATGTTTCGTTTGTGTTTTTCCCCTGGTGAAACTGTTGAGGCTATTATAAACATTTGGATGTGAGTCATGTTTTTACGTTAAGTCTCATTTCTCTTTTTCTTTTATTACTAATTGTATTATAAATTATTAATTACAATGTGCTCCTGCGTGCATATTGTACATCTGTTGTTTTTGCGTTGGTCTTAAGTCGTTAAACTTATATTGATGGTAATATAAGGATAACACGAGCGTGTCAAAATTCAAAATTGTCGTCATGTTCTCAGATTTGATTTCGATTGACTGATTGTTTCATTTTCCCGGAGGACGGGAGCGAGAGAGGGAGAGCCTGTCATATCATATGTACGAATATGGATGAACCGACGGAACGAACGGGAAGAACGAACGAAACGAAACAAACGAACGGAGACTTGGGGCGAAAGTCACTTCTGCAAAACTGATAAATAGGATATACTTATACAATCAAACCGTGCGTTGGGAGGAGGGGATCGCGATTGTCGCGAGCAACCCCTCTTCCCTAAATAGATTGCGTTCTTTTAACGTTGTTAAACGCGGGAGTCACGCTGCGTCGTGGCGTCCCAGGCGAAATGTTCCTTTTTAACGTAGCGTGAAGGAGTTAAGCGACATATATTGTTCTATAAAGAGAATACGTATGTTAGATATATGCGTTGTATAGCCACATAGTTGCTCATTCCTGTGCGGAAGTGATCACCCACTTATTAATCTTCGCGAGAGAGATGAAAGAAGTGACCGCGACACGATTCGTTCGCTGGCCAAGGGCTCAACCATCCATAGATATTATATTTTTTACAGAAGTGTTCATAGATTGAGCCAACTTGGCACGGCGCCGGCCGACGATGTGCCACACGCAGGGCCTCCCTCCCTCCTCGACGATCTCCGCGGGGACGATATTAATTAAAGATAAAGATGAAAAAAAAAGAAAAAATGTGATAATGATTATTCAATGAAGTAAATAGTTAAAGAGAAAACTTAAACAAAATAGCACAATCGCTGGGCATTATCTACAAAGTGCTAGCAAGCCTAATGTCAGCAGCCTTGTCGTATTTGGTATTTAAAAAAAAAAGAAAACGACGTTGTGTGAAAATGCCGAATTGCGGACGGATTTTTTTTTTCGCGAACACATTCTAACGTCTTAAAAAAGAAAGAAAAAACAGATCGAGGCGAAACCTCGGTGGAATTTGTCCGACATTCGGCTTCCTCATACTCCATTGCATAGACGATAATTTTGTGAAAGCGCGTCTATCGCCGGCGTGAGCAACGAGCCCAAAAGAAAGATTAGTGCAGCATTTTTATAACTCGGTAAAATTTCAATTTTACTGCCGCACGCGCGTCGACAACGGACGATCCTTTGCAATAGACGAAACATGTTCTCTAAGGCCTGTAACGTATCGATACAGATTTGCTACGATCCGATATATATATGTGCTAATTTTTTTATTCATGTTACTCACACATCTTGGGCTCGCAGGTCGCAGTGCGATAGACGTGCTGACGGAGTATTCATACGATTACACACATATCCGCACGCAACATATAGCAGCAAGGTAATAGGATTACATTGAAATACACTACCTCAAATCAATAGAAATATGGATTTACAGTAATGGGGAAAAAATGAAATAAAGAAGAAAAAGAACTCCACGACGGTCGCGTTCGCTTCGTTGCAACAGCTTTGATTTTCACGCGTGTGCGTGACCGGCCACTGATATTCTTTCTACCGATGTATTTCTACCGAACTTTGTTGATAGATGTACGTACAGTGGATTTAGCCGCCTTGAATATGGATTATTGCCTATTTACATTGACCCTGAGAGACACAAGTGGACACAACATTTATGAAGAAGAATCTCAGAAAGTGGACCTTTGTTCTGTTTTGTTATTTAGGAAAACTTTACTTTAGAAAAGTACAGCCACTATTTACACATTCTTTCATTCATTCCAAGTCCATTAAGTATAAAGAAATGATGATTTGTTGTAAAATCCACAAAGAACTTGAAACTTATTATTTTATTCATTTCTTTTGTGCGTTTTGAAGATCCGTGAGACTTCCGTGTGTGTTTTTCAGGGTAAAAAGGACCTACAAAAAATGTACAAATAAATAAATATATATTAAATAGATATATATATTAAGAGAGCGTCGCGTAAGAGCGCCGGTCGTCGTGGATTTTTAAAAAGAGTAGTCCTTTCAAATCCAACAACGCTGCCGAATGCCGAACTGAAGAAAAAAAAGAAGGAACGCGAAAGAAAGATGTATCAAGAAGTATCTTCGCAGCAGAGATGATGATGATGATAGGGATGATTTATTGACTACATTCATAGTCTTTGAGGAGTAATGGTGTTTGATTTTGTATATTGGTGAATTTTTCTGTAATTTTTATGTACACACTATATGCAAATGTGACAATTCTCAACGTGTGAGCGAAAGACTTGCGAGAAAGGGAGTGCGAGAGAGAAATAAAGGGCGAGCGAGAGAGCGAGTTTTACCTTGTACATTTACAAATTGTGATTATTACGGATGGCTTATTATGATTATTATTAATTATTATTATTGTCACGGATTATACTATGATTATTATTATCATCATGTAGAATGCTTCTTACTGACTGAAATAAAATGTTTTCAATGTCATAAAATATTCTATTTTGTATTATTTCAAATGTCATTGTTCTAATCTTGGAGATTGCACAGAAGTTTTATACTAAAAAAGGAATCAAATTTTTATTTTATTCTTTTCCATATTTTATTATTTTATTTTTATTTTTATTTGAGAATATAAATATAATTTTTTTTATTATAAACATCTGCACTCTCTTGAATCATCCGAATTTAAACAATGGAAAAATAAAGATTTTGCACAAATTTATCTGACGCTTTTCTAATAATACTGATTATGTTTGCATCAGTAAATGTAAAAGCAATATATACACACACACACACACACACACAAGACATGAAACATGGAAAAATAAGCAAAGGACAAAATTTAATATGTGGTTAAAGTATTCAAAATTATAAAAAAATTAATCATAAATTATTATAAAAGAAAATTATTTTTTGTAATTATTAATAAATTATATTACATATTAATTAAAAAATATCTATTTTTAGATAACAGAAGATAAGTAAGATAGTAAATAGTGAACAGTAGATAGTAAATTAAATATTTTATGCTATTAGAAAAAGATATCATTTGCTAATCATTGATTAAATTCTCTATTTTCAATTTATTCAAGGTAGTTTTCATAATTGCAATTTTCTTCTCTTTTCGCAAGAGTTTCTGTCGCATAACTTTCATTTTTTTGCGCAAAATTTCAATTTCAACACGTGCTGCTTTCCTAATTGCTTCTACAGTCGGGTTGTTCATGTTCCATATTCTTTCGGGCGATATTCTCGTTTCTTTATCCTCAGTTGATCTTCGCAATGACGAAGAGGGTGATGTATTTGTCGCTTTGTCACATGTTGAACCTACAACATAAATTATCATTTACGAAAATTTAAAGCTTTTATTTCTTATTGTTAGTAAGAAATTCATCTGTAAAGCTTACACATGATAGAAGTCTCTTTACCATCTTCTGCATTCATCTTTAAGTTTAAAAAGTTCATTGCTAAAACAAATTGTTTTAATTTTCTTAAAGAATAGTTTATGTATTTCTAATATATATCAGTAAAAGAAGGAAAAATTTAAGTTAGAAATCATTTATAAAGAAATAATAATCGTAGAACTTTGTTGGAAAGAAATACTTGGAAAGAGAGATTTCAGGGGCCACTTTACTTCATTTTTTATACTTATTTCATCTTCCATTTCATCGCACAATGTCTCGTCAAATATCTATAATAACAATCTAATTAATAAAATTATAATGTAACTTCTCTTTTAAACTTAATAAGTTTTTATGATATTCTATTTTTATATTTGTACACATTTCATATTATACACATTAAAATTTTTATATAAAATATTCAAATACTAACATATGGAACAGCATTCTCTCTCAATCTTACATATACTAGAGATGTGCGATCCATAAATTCTTCCTTAAAGTGAAGAGAACAAAGACGACTTCTTTTGTTAATCCCTCTGTCTTCAAGGTTCATGATTTTTATCCATTGCATTCTTCTAACAGGATCGGACGGAAACCTATAAACAATGCAAATATCTAATTAAAAAAAATACACAAATAAACTTTTTATGTTTAAATATCAAACAATATCTCTTTTCAAAATATATGTAATTTATCAAAATTAAAATATTATAATTTTAGAGTATTACTATATAATTTTGAAAATACTACAATTTTGTAATATTAACAAAAAAAAAGTAAAAACAGTTGATATTTTATTTAATTTTATAATATATTTTGAATCTTATTTTGATATAACCTTCTACTTACGAATGAAACGTTATCTTGGTCACTTTTTCCAGTTCTATTTGTGCCTCGGATTTTCTGTTAACATCGGCAGTGTTTATGCACCCAATAGCAACGCAACGCGTAGGCATTTTGTTATAAAATTTATTCAAAAACTATATAAAACAACAATCTTGCATACGCGCTGTGTGTAGCAGAAGGTCGTAACTCCACGATTTTTTGGTGCGACAAAGTTGGTAATTTATTTTGGTTATGGTACGCGCGGAGATGGCAGCACTATCAGTCACCATCTTAAAATCGGTGCTCAACTATAGAAATTTTAGAATTGTTTTCTAGTAACTTTTTCATAGTAACTTTGAGATGCACTTCTAATAACTTTATAATTGCATTTCTGCAAATTTACTTCACCCATGGACAGAGATATTCTTTTCTTATAACAGTCTCATTGTTCATGATTGTTTGCCACGCTTCCGCACTGTGTCGTTTACTGTTTACAACACTGACAGATAATTGAAATTGTTATTTATATTTTTTATTTATTATAATGAAGAATGTGAATGATTAATAAAAACTTTATGCATAGGTGGGACAATAGTTGAATTATGTTTATATAATAATTTTTCACATACATAACATTTTATAGCTTAGACTTTTTTTATTGCGTTGATATGTTGCCAAATAATACATTTAATGACCGAAACTTTACGATTTGCACTATTTCCGAACAAGTTTGCATATATTTTGAATAATTATGGGCTGAAAGTAAAACAATTGATCTCTTCCATCAATGTTGTAAGGTAAAGTTATTTTTAACTTATCTTTATTATCTTTGTGAACCATAAAAATGCCTATTTAATTAATCGATATTATTTGACTTGCAGGATAAGTCTCTGTTAATGGATGATCACTTGTGATTCACCATAGAGGATATTAGAGATAAAACATGGACGAGATGATTAATATTGACGATGTTGAGACTGGAGTGCGTTCCTCCAAGAGTTCAGCAATTCCATTTGGTTGCGTCAGTTCAAACTCTGTGTGCTATGTCGCGATTACGATAGCGACTCTCGCCTTTCTTGGCACCATTGTTTTTGTTTGTCGCGATTACATCCGGATACTGCTCTATTGGATTGAGCATCAGAATGCTTGGATTATTGCCATTATTTTCATCGGCCTGTTCACAGTTGTGTCGTTCCCCATTGTGATTGGCTACCTCTTTCTCATTGTTGCCAGCGGGTACCTGTTTGGTGTGATACATGGTATGGCAATTGTTGTGCTTTCTGCTAATCTTGGCATTGCCATCGCTCATGTCACCCTGGGATTGTTGTCTACTCGGCTGCCGATCGGAGCACTTCTGCAGAGCGACACTGCGCGTGCAATACTGCGTGTTATCTGTGGACCACAGGCCTTCAAGATTGTGTTGTTTGCGCGACTCACACCAATCCCATTTGGTCTTCAAAATACTATCTTTGCAGTATGTGTAACTTGTGTTGTGTTTACTATATACAAAGTCTCACAGTTCACAGCAATGTTAATGTTTTAATGATTGATTAGAGTAGAAAATGACAAAGTGTCTTTTTTTATCAAGAACAAAATTATATGCCTGAGTAAATTTTCAATAGATTTTATTTTGGTATCAAAATTTAATTCCAACTTAAATCTAAATCCTTTGATCTCATTTTACTTTTGTTTTTTATTTTAAAGCTTAATTACCAAAACATGAGGTGTCAAAAAATTACAAGAAACGGTATTTTGTAAGGGAAAAATTGATTCCAAATTAATCAGAATTAAGTCGTTAAAATTGAAACTGTGAATTGCGAGACACCGTATACATATACAATCTGCATTACGTACATGTGTACGTATATATTCATATATGCGTATGATTAGGTCAGTAACATAGGCGGTTTTCGTTACCACGTAGCCAGCGCGATAGGTCTACTACCTGCCCAACTGGTCAACGTCTACCTGGGCAGCAGTTTGAGATCGATGCAAGATGTACTGGAGGATAGATCAACGGCGGCAACCGGTTACATTGTCTTCTGTTTTCAGGTGCGTTGCACATCTGTAAAACTTAAGTAACGTAATAATCTTCCTTATCGTTACTTTAGATATTGGTGGGAGTTTCGCTGATGGTCTATATTGTACAGAAAGCGCGAAAGGAGCTGCAGCTGACGCTGTTCGAGGCCGATCTTGCGTCCATGACGAATTCCCCGCATTACATCATCGACGGTCTGCCGGAGTCCAAGATTATCTTAACGAATCTAATTACGTAATTTTTTTATGCGAAGTGTCGCTTATAATTTTACCATAAGCGGCAGTCGCCTTTTTTCCTGACATTCTCACTGATATTATTATTATTATTATTATTATTATTATTATTATTATTATTATTATTATTATTATGATTATTATTATTATTCGTTTTTATGCGATACTTGTTTCCTCTTGCGTACTTCCAGATATGTATTTCGCTAACTTGTCTCGGTGCTTCTGAAAATCTAGGCTTTCGCGTGGAAATCTCTTATCGTGGAGATGACGCATATCAAGTCTTACCAAAGCTAATGTAAACCTTAGTGACAAACAAAGTTGATGGAGTTATAGTGCGCATATATATTTTGATAAATATGGGCGTAACTGCGAGTCCGACTGTGTATAAGGCTTTTCCTCGCAATAGAGTACACTATTATAATTTATGTATTGTTCGTACATATATACATTCAACGTTAATAATAGAGACTGAGACTTTACATTTACACCTTTTACAACGTTCGATTGACTTTGTTCATTCTTTCAGTTCGAAATCCGTTGTTGTTAATTAACGTTAGTTAACGTCTGTACATTTGTCCGTCTTCGTGCAATGTATTCCGCGTTTATATATAAATAATAAATTGTATATTATATATAAATAATTATATCTGTATCATAATCTCTCGAACAGAGAATAGCAAAATAAATTTGGCATTTCTTCAACTGAGAATTTGTTGTGTAAAATAAATTTCAGACTCCTCGTTTTCTTCTTTCACATACTTTTATAAACATTTATTATCTGACTAGAACTTTGGATATCAACACATTTCGCCTCGTCTCGAAGGATCGATGTGTCTCCTGTGTCTAACGTGCGTGTTCTTTCACAGCTTCGAGACGTCTAGTATGTGTGCATGCATGTCAGAGAAATAGCGGCGGCATCGTACCGTTTTTATTCCAGCAAAAAAAGTTTCGTACATTTTCGTTTCTTTGTATATACTCTTCGCTCACTTTCTTCTTTTTTACAGTTCCATTATCTAACTTAGCATAACTGGAATCACATTATAAAAATCTTTGACGTTCCTTATACATCATGTAATTATATATATGTACAATAACGCGTGGATTTCAGTGGCCGTATAATTTCGCCTCTCATCGCTTATATTTCTTCTCCTTTTAAGCTCGCAAGGCTCTATAATCATTTTTAATCATAGATCGTTCTATATACAAGATACATTCCGGCCAACGGACAATAAAATAGATACACCGCGCTAACACTTATAATACAAAAAGAATCGTGACTATTGTAGTAAATATTTACATGCTAACGAGAACCTAAACTTTCTGAAATTCATTTGTGCGCGGATTCTACTACGAATACATGTGTGGCGAGAGCCAAACGGGGGAGGGGGCTGCAAACAAGATCTCTGAGAGGTCGGAAGTGAGTTCATTAGAAATTATTGCGTCTTATTGCGAGTATTATTAATACTTGCAACGATATATCCTCAAATTCCGTATCCTGTCATTGGAAGGCATTTCCGGTGAATAAAATTATTTTTAAGCCTACGGCGCGTTTCTCGCAATGCAAAACGCACCGTAGGCTTTAAATTACAAACGGATTAGATAATGGAGTACACAGCTAATGTATATCTAAGGAAAGATATTTTACAAGACAAAGAATTGGCATACAGGATGTTTTACCTAACTCAACCGCCAGAAATATCTCCGCTGCTTTTTACAATGTGGAAAATGAACAAGAAAGCAATAATCAATTAGAAGGGGCAAATATGGTTGGTGTAAAGCCAGCATGGCCTAGAAAGCTTCCTTATTTAATTACATAATTTTATAATACAAAATTCCTTATTTAATTATTTATAATTGATTAAATTAAGTTTATTTTATAATACAAAATTATAATTAATTAAATAAAGGAATTTTTATGTATCTTAATCATATTTGTTACGTCTTTATGCTATTGTCTCTTTGTAAGCTAAGAGATTATTTGTCTGACTAAATGTCAGAATTTAGAACATAAGCAATTAAATTTAGTTAAGACAATAATTTCTTACGTACTTTTCTTTTGTTAAAAGTAAGAGAGCGTATATATCGATTGGTATATAAAGTTAGGTAAAACATTTTGCGGGTTAAATCATCATGCTGAGAGCTTTCTTAGACTGCTATCGTCTAGCCTTATCTTCTCTCTCTATTCGCTCGACAAATATATTATTTTAGTAAACGTAATAACAACAACTTTATGGCCGCATTTAAACACATAGTTACGTATAGGAGAAATATATATATATATAAATTCATTTTTCCTCTAGCTTACTTATGTATACAGTTAACCAGTCGACTCGATTGAAAAAACTATCGATATCACAAAGTTTCGAGGGGGTTTGATCTCGAGCTGTACATAGTTGATAAGTATAAATAGCATATCGAATGCTTAGTCTCAGAAAACTGTTTCGAACAAACAGTTTTCTGAAGACGGAAAAGAAGAAAACTCGAAGGACGTGAAGAAGGAAAACTCGAAAAATATAACAAAAGTGAAGTAAACCGGATTGCAAGCGAAGGCTATGCCAGTGTCAAAAATCCGAAGCATGCGTTTCCTCCCGCGATTATAGTATGATATACCGCAAATAAAAAAGCTGATCGCGCTGTAAAACGCGACATCAATGTACGAAAGCTAAGATCATAATTAGAGTTGTAAAAATGGAAAGAAATTTTGTCGAATATACATATGGCAAGAGCAAAGGAAAAAAAAACACAATATTTATCACCGGAGAACATTCCGTTGTCAAGTCTCGCGTCTCACAAGTCGTCCCTGCATCAATATAACGGTAGGAGATCAATCAGATTCGCCCGTGGCTGCGTCAATGATTCCGGGAAGAATTCCGCAAGCTGGTTGTAGAGCTCGGTACGCAGATTGTGCACGTCACGCGAGTTCACGCATCGTCGCGCCGATGCGTCTGCCGTCAAAATCGCGTCTGGATGAGAAAAATCCTTCGACAAGTCATCCTGGTCTCGGAATAAGATTGATGTCAGCAATTGAAACTGCAGGAAGATATTGAACAATAAAGTTACCAAATATAATAATTACATGAAATTTTAACATGTTATATATGATTAAATAATAATATATGTAATAATATGATGTAAATGTATAAATAGAAAAGCACACATGTCGGTACCTCTCTCGTTTGCTGCGTGTCATTGTGGTCGATAATTTCAAAGACTCTCGTCTGCAGATATTCAAGAGCCTCTATACTGTTGCTCAAGGCGAGCTCCTTGAATTTATGTTGTCTGATGATTAACTTGCATCTTTTTAGAACTTGTTCCGCCGTGGGGCGGCGCAGCTCCAGCTGCCAAAAGTCATCGAGCCTCAGATTTGGAAGACAAGACCTGCCTGGATTGCCACCAAACAGAAAATGAACCTGTCAAACAGATATTAATGACAAAATCATGAGTGTTTATCGTCAAATATATTTTTAAATAAATAAATAATTCTATAACATAGCGATAAAAATATTCTTGAACAATTTCAGTTATAATCATTTTGATTTAATATTGTGTTTCAATTGCAAAAAAAAAAGTTTAATTAGTATAAAAATAATTCTTTTAACAGAAAAGTTATAATTTACATAAAATGTCTTCAAAAAATTATTTAATAATTAAAATAAACTAAATTTGAATATTAGATAAATAAATACATCGTCTGTACATACCTTTTTCGTATGATCGTAAACAAGTTGATGTGCGAATCGCGGACACGGTTCATAATCTTGCATCTTACTCCAGTATTTTTCACCGACATTTTCGTTGCGATATATACAAGACCACTTGCTGTTTTGAATATTGTACACCCAGAAGGAATTCTGCACGTTGTCGTCTCTCTTATCCTTGTCTTTACTCAAGCCCTAAAAATATCATTATTTTCACATTATGCTTTCACATATTATTAAACATAATAATTACAACCGTTTACGATTGTAATCTATGTTTAAAATTTATACAACTATGATTATAATTGTAATAATTTACATGTTGATGTTAGTTGCTTCGCACATTAATAATTATTACACGAGATACGAACCGATAAAACATAAATCTCGCCGAGTTCCGGATCAATGGTCGCTCGCTGCGTAAACCCGGCGGCGGGGACGTGATTGGAGTCCTTTGCCGTGCTGAACTCGTTGTAGCTTATGTACTCGACATGTTGCGTGTCCACTTCGTAAGTGAAGAAGTCGCTGAGATACTCCTTACCTCTTTGACCGGCGAATATGTATAATTTTCTCGATCGCTAAAAAATTGACATCGTCATTAGTGACATTGTTTCGTGTTTGAATTTGCTTATTATTCATTTTAATGACAATGAAATTAGGAATACTGACTGGATGAAACAGCATGGAATGGCCGGCGCGCGATCTGTAGATTGGCATATCTCTCGAGCACGTCTTGTCAGCGATATCACTGGCAAGCTTAACCCATGTACCGGTCGGCACGTGATAGGAGTACAGCCCGGAAAAATGTGGCTCAGGAATCAAACCGTGCTCGTCACTACTGTACGAATTAGAAAAAAATCTATGTTACAGAAGGATAGAAAAAAATAGAGTATATAAAAAGTTTCAAAGTCGAGCAAGAGCGATAATTATTAAAAGATATAAATTGCACAGAAATGATTGAAAAATATATCTCGTCAAAAAACATTCAACAATAGCTAAAAAATAAAACTAGCTTAAAGGAAAAATGCGAATCCTTTTTTTTAATTCCTTAAATGTGACTTACTTCGCCGGATGAGCCAGCATACGTCCGCCAAAAACGTAAATCGTGCGTTTCTCTACGTCCATTGACATTTGATGGTCGAATACGAGTGGCGGCCCACCCATGCTACCTGTATCCTCTGAAATCTGCGTCCATTTATTCGACTCGATATCGTAAACGTAAAAGTCGCTCTTCAGGTTCTCGTGCGTGCGATATTGCGTATCCAAATATCTGCCCAATGTAAAGAGTTGTCGTCTCTGTGGATCTAGGCACATTTTATGGCACGAACGTGCGCTGGGTCCTCCCTAAAAATGTAACGCAGAATGTGATAACAGGATACTTTATTAAATAAATTACCTCAAGTACATTATTCTATGAAAAAAAGAAAAAAAGAGAGAGAAAGAAATAAATGTGTCAGATCACATTACGTATCATTGAATTGATCAAACATCACTAACCACTGCTTCCGTGTCCTTGCATATGAGCGTCCACTTGCTCGCCTCGATATCGTATGACCAGAGATCAGCGAGATCCTGGTTACCGTCCCAACCACCGAACAGATAGAGCACTTCGGCCGCGGGATCGAGCACCATCTGATGGCCGCCCCGCATCCCGGGCTTGGGCTCGCTAGACGACAACTTCGTCCAGATTGCTCTATAAGTTTGCGCATTGATATAATCGCTTAAGAGTCCCACTAAAAAGCGTATTTGACAGTGTGTAAGCGTCACAGCTGGTGAAAAATAACGAGTCGACGAATCGGACTCAGAGGAAAATTGAAAACGTGAAAGAGACAAGTGTATGGACTTACTCGTGAGCGCGTTGCTGATAAAACATTCAGCTTGCTGATGATCACCCTGAGTGACAAGCAGATCGTACAATGTTGACAACCGGGTGTCCTCCAACGGAACACCAGTAACCCGCTGTAAAGTTTGAACAATTTCTGGTTGTTCCATTTGTCGAAAATGCTTCATGCACAGTCTTATTATTTCCTTCTGTCGATACTGCAATACAATGCACATGTTCAATTTCACTTTAAAACGTTTTATTTAACAATGCACTTACCGTGTTAAACCACTCGAGACAGGGTTTTACGATTTTGGGATCGTTGATACCAGTCAGTCTAATGTGCCAAATAGAAAAGTTAAAACTAGGACCCCAAGATTGTAGCGGAAGCACTTTTATATATCGAATGGGAAAGTAATTCCCCTCATTTCCTAAAACGTGCTTAAGATCGAATGTCTCTGGTATGGAATCGTTTCTCAATCCACTAAAATGTTAAAATTTATGTTGGATATCAAAAGATAAATAATTAAGTAAAGCGTTAATAAATTTTTAACAATAAATAAATAATACTATTAATAATAAAAAAAATAATAAAATTAATAATAAAATATTTTAATTATGTAATTGTCACACCTTTCGAGAAGTTCCATCATGTTTTCGGGCTCCAATCCGCCGAATATCTTAAACTTCTTGATATTACATACATGGGTCTTTTCATATTTGCCGAAAGTAATATATTTAACAACGGAAGGACTTTGAAGCTTGAGAATGAGATACTGCAACACACAATCGACAAGGTAAATAGCGAAACAGGAAGAAATATAGATGTACGAAGGGGCAATCCTTACCTGTGGATGATTATCAATATCGGAGGACCAACGTGAAGTCTGATCTGACGGAATATCGACGATAATATTTCTGAAAAATATCAATATACGTGAATTACGGTAGACGTTCGGATGAAACGGTTTTTTTTCTGGAATTTTCAATTTTTAGGTTAGAAACTTGCGGTTCACTGATAAGAGATTTTTCCAGATGTTTCAGAGATAAAATAAAGACCGCCTGCAAACGATGTGAGCACTCACTCGGGTACGTAACAGGACGAGTAGCTGGAGCATTTGTAAATTCGATACTCCAACTTTTTTTGAACATCACCACTCTCGCTCGACGCCATATTATAGAAATGACATAACCTTCAACACCAGAAATACGCGCGGATAATTGTGAAGTTCATCAAGCTTCAGAAATCGAGTTTGATTCGATTTAAGCATGAATTTAAGCTTGAAAGTCCTGATTGGTTGTCACCTAGAAATTTTATTTTTTTTCTAAAAAATTTACTAATTAACAGCCAATCGGTACATTACATTTTTTAAATAGACAACTTCAACGTCAAATGCTCTGACTGTACGGCGCTTTACTTTTGTATATTTTTGTACCACTCTCGTTTGACGTCAGGACTGTCTCGGTCGTACACGTGCGCACTGGTCAGTTGATAATGATCTAGGCACGCGAAAAAGGAGCCAGCCAGCTCGATCCGCATCGTCCGTGATTCGCACTGAGGATTCCGTGCCGCGTGTTGTCAGAGTCCGTAAGCCGAGTGATACAAAAATGTGAATTTTGATCGTTCGCGTGTCGTACGGGAATAACGCGAATTTTAAATCGATATCCCCGTTGCCATACGTCAACCAGGAGGTAGGCGGCGAGAAGCAGCGATGAATGCCGATAAGGAGACGATGGACGTCAGTGAACAGCGACAGCGGCACCGGGTGCTCTGCGAGAGCGACGAGATCGAGAACTCGGATGAGAGCAGTGAAAGCAGACCATCCGGCGAGCGATGGGCTCCGGTCGGCGCCAACGACGGTGATAATGAATTCGCGGACGAGTACAAATATGTCAACGCCAACGTGGACAAGTGCGTTCTCGAACATTTTTCTTTTTCTCTAAGTATAAATTTATGAAAGCTTAGAAAAAATTATATTATATTATAATTGCTGTATATTATAATTACTTATTTTCTTGCGTTAATTTCCTTGCTTTAATTTTATTTATAATATTTCAATATTTTATACATTTATACATACGCAATAAAATAATAGTTTTATTTTTTATTAAACAAAATATATACATGCCTGATACTTTTTATTGTCAAATAATAAATAGAAGACAGATGCTGTCTTCTTAAAATATGCTGACAATTGTTATATTACAATATATACAATAATTCTTATGTTATCAGTCTTGCGTACGACATGGAGAGAGTCAAAGTTCTGGAAGAGGAACAGGAGATGTTGAATTCGTCTCTGATAGCATTGACCACCCATTTTGCTCAGGTATAAAACTTGAAAGCTATTTATTTACAATTAAACTTGCTTTGTAATCATGGTTTTATTGTTTTCAAAAATTTGCATATTGATTAATGAAATCTTTGTTATATCTACAGGTTCAATTTCGTTTGCGACAAATTGTAGATGCGCCGGCTACTGAGAAAGAGACACTGCTCAAGGAATTAGAGGAATTTGCATTCAGAGGAATACCCGATGTACCGAACAGTTTACTACTGGAGAGCAGATCCGTCACGCCGATCTCGCCTGTATCCTGTGATCGAAGCGTAAGTTACTTTCACAGCTTCTCAATGCAAATGAATTTTCTGTGATATCCATGTTATGATGCGATTTTTCTTTCGCTTTGCCTTTTATCGCCTACGCTTACGCGTAATTTTATTCATTTTATACGTTATATATGTTAATAAACTATTTTTATATATTTATATATATATTTTTTTAAAATTCTTTTTATACTTTATATGTTTGAATATGCAATAAAATTTTTCTATATATTTCTTTTTATTCGTCAAGTTTATTTCGATACCAGCATACATATCCCATCCTTTTTACTTTATGCTGATAAAAATACGCTGATAAAAATAATTATATATCTATTGCAATTTTTAATTCAAGTTTTTTTTCTATAAAAAAGCATTTTGTAACATTTTATCGTAAAAAATGTAACACGATTGTAGATGACTGGCGTAATTACGGATGCGGAAATTGAATCAAAAATGGCAATGCAAAGGACAAAGCAGAGAGAACTAATTAGTCAATTAAAATCACAGTTAGAGGATTTAGAAAAGTACGCGTACGAAACCGGCGACGCTGATCTGCCGCAGAGTGTCATTCTGGAGAGGCAAAATATTATAATTAGTAAGTGTTAATAAATTAATCCAGAAAATGTTAAAAATGAACGGATTGTAAAAATTGCAATTTATAGGCCATTTAAAGGAAAAGTTGAACTTCAATGTTGACGATTTGTGCAAATTGCCAGCGGACGATCTCAGATGGCAAGTCGATTACGCGATAAGTCAAGTAAGCCACAATAAGATTGTCACAGAATAACCGGATGTATATATTCCTTTGACATCTGTAATTTTTTCATAAAATAAGGAACAACTTAAAATTTCGCTTAAAAAGATATCTGGTGTTTCTCACAAACAATCTGTGTAACGCGGTATTTAAAACAGCCATACAAAAGATAATTAAAATACATTTGTTACACGACAGATTGTCAGTCCGTTGAAGATGAAGGAACAGCTGGTTTGTCAACTGAAGACGCAGATCGCCGACCTCGAACGTTTCATAAATTATCTTCAGGGAGAAGTGAGCACAGAGACGCTGGCGTGTACCTGTGCGTGTCCGGTGCACGCAAACGGCGCCGGCGCTTCGTCGTCGGCCAGCTATGGCACGAAGCGACGCTATGAGCGTGCGAGACACGTCGAGGAGGGTGCGGGCAACCGAACTCGAACGCTGAACACCGTGCGAAAGGTAGTCGCGCTCTTGCACGTATTTCTGATATCGCAGCTGGGCTGCAGCAGCGAGCGAGTACGTCGCAATTTTGGCAGCAACCTCAGGAAGAACCCGGTGCACAATTGGCGCGATTTGCGCACTAGGCTTGACATCGCTATCGAGCACGTGCTGGACACAATCGCGGAAACGTCGCGACGGCAGCAGCAACGTCGTGTCGACGACGACGAGGAGGAGGAAGTGGACGATATAGATGATATAGACGAGAACGATTACACGTCCGACTCGGATTCGGCGTCGCATGCGAATGCCCGACTTACGTCCGCGGTGCGGAAGCATCTCGCCACATCGATACGCGACCTCATGCAGCACGGCCTGACCGCGGACGTAATGCGCTCCGGCACCAGCGTCGTGCCGTTCGTCGGCTGCTTTCCGCAGCGCAACGAAGTGACGCCCGCGAACTTTATGCACGCCTGGGAACTGATACTGAAATATTACGAGATCAAGAACGGACGCCGTTACAATTCCAGCCCCGCGCAGAAGCTGTCACAGAGTTTTAATCTGGATCTCGCGGCCGGTAGGATAGCTTCCTCGAAACAGGTGCGCACAGGCTCTCGTCCAAGGGATATGGAATGTCCAGGAAATCGCTTCTAGAATCGGCAATTCTGATTTCGCAAGAATAAATTTCACAAAGCGCGAAAATATTCCAAACTTTAAAACATCGTTTAGGACTTATTCGATCATTTTTATTAATATTTTGATACACGCGACATATATTCTAACGGTTCTGAAATATCAAATAAAGAATAACAAAGAATAACGTTAGTATGAAATTTGCAATTATTTTGCGTTATAAAAATGTTATAAAAAATAAATTTTTTATTAATTACGATTCGGAAATCACTGGTTATATCGCGAATCACTGGACATCTTGTATTCTGCAAATTGAGAAATGTATTGTACTTCCATAGGTTTCTAATATTATTTTTTTTGTTTAGAGCTTATTGACGACCATAGGTAACATTATCGCCTCTCACAGCCCGTATAAGCGGAGTTATGATTCGCATTTCAAGGCATTTGTATGCGCGGCTTTGAAGTAAGTAACAGCACCAAAATTACGTCGCAACAAAATTGCTGAATTATCAAATTATTTATTATTTTTGTCGATTATTAAAATTAATTACGTATTATTTAAGTAACTTATCAAACAATGTTGTATTTTCAGTGCGAACAAACTCGTGATATGGCT